GTTTCAGTATTGGGAGTGTCCTGACAAGCACTCCACATTTTCCAGTCCCGGATTCAAGTTTTGCATGAGATATACTCTGATTGGCTGTGGCGGATTATCTGGATTTTTATAGACTTTCTTGAGTTTTGACATGCTGTTTCTAGCTTGATATGTGCTGCAGTGCACATTGGGTGGGTGTGTTTTGTGGATGCCCCACTCTTGAGATGGCTTTGTACTGCATTACAGTGTCTGTGTAGAATTGCCCTCAGACAGCTATGATCTCCCTAATCTGCAGCCTTCACTATGCTCAGGTGTGGATGAAAGACCAACCCCCCCCCCCTCCATCTCAACTGCCACTGCCCTGGCCCCAAATGGAGAGAAAAAGAGGCAGTGTCTGCTGGATGCAATCCTTTGCACTGTTGCCATTCCCCTTTCCTTTTGTATCATGTTTCAATTAGAATGTAAATTTATTTATTTTATTTATTTAAAAGTTTTGTATACCGACCTTCTCACCTCTCTTGAGGGACTCAGACCGGTTTCCAACCATAAAATCACATACAGTCAATAAAACATCAGACAAGCCCCTACATTGGCAGTTTTCAGAAAGAATTTGAAAACCTGGCTGTTCCAATGTGCCTTTTCAGACTAGGAACCCCAGTACCAAACCCCAGAAGCACTTTAGCTAGGACCAAGATCACCGCACACCGCACACCACACTTCTATTATAATCCCATATCCCTCCGACACATCAGCACTTTTAATCCTGTACCCCCACTCTGGCCGGCTCAGTTTTTAATAATGTCTTGTTGTACTGCTATTGTTATTGTTCTTGCTTAACTGTTTCATTTGCTAGGTACTGTATTGTTATATTGTGTGGGCTTCGGCCTGTTGTAAGCCGCATTGAATCCCTTGGGAGATGCTAGCGGGGTATAAATAAAGTAATAATAATAATAATAATAATAATAATAATAATAATAATAATAATTCATATTACAATAAAACATTAAAACAGCAATTACATTCAATAACTGCAATGGTCAGTCGTCCTACTAAAAGCATTGTTCATCATCCTCCATCCATATCTCAGGGTATTGGCTCACTCATAGAATGCCTGTCTCCATAACCACGTCTTCACCTGTTTCCTGAATGTCAGGATAGAAGGGGCGGTTCTGATCTCCAGTGGGAGAGAGTTCCAGAGTCACGGGGCCACCACCGAGAAGGCCCTGTCCCTCGTCCCCACCAGATGCGCTTGTGAGGCCGGTGGGACCGAGAGCAGGGCCTCTCCAGATGATCTTAATAATCTTGATGGTTTATAGGGGAGAATACGTTCGGAGAGGTAAACAGGACCGGAGTTGTTTAGGGCTTTATAGGTTAACACCAGTAAACCCAAAGGCAGGGAGCTGTCACATTAACAATCTGAGTGCCTTTGTGGCTGTAGAGCAGGGCATGAATACTCTACAATAAATGAATATCCCATTGACAGTATTAAAATAAGGTCTGATTGAAAGGAGAAAGTGCATCCTTGCTTCAGGCAGGAGAATGTCTTGGACCAATATTATCAATAGTTGAAATACCTGATTGCTTTCTCTCTCTAAACATGTACATATACACATAAACATACTACACCCAAGCAGTATTATAAAAGTGATCCCCTATACTGCCTTCCTCTCTATATTGCCTGGAAATTGGAATTGAGGAAATTCACCAAACGGGCCCTGGTTGAGAACTATTTCGTATTTGGACTCTCCTAGTCTACGCCAACCCAATGACCATCGTTTGACTACACAATCAACCCATCCTGTTTTGTAAACTCTAGTTGGCTGTTGTAAATTAATGTGGATGTTTGTTTAGATTTTATGTTAGTATATAATTTTTTCTGACTATGTGTAGTTTAATTTATTGATGTTAGGTTTCGTTTACCGATGTCAGGCTTTAATGTGATGTTAGGTTTTAATGTTACTTTCATATGTGGGGTTTCTTTGGGATTTTATGTCAGTATTTGTTTTACGAAGGCATTGAATGTTTGCTGTAGTTATGTTGGAATCCGCCCTGAGTCCCTTAACGGAGATAGGATGGAATACAAATAAAGTTTTATTATTATTGTATAATGTTGCTGACCCTGATGTCTCCAAGGAAGGGGTGGGTGACAGATTGGGAAAGTAAAGACTCCCTTTTGCTTTTGTAATCTGCCACATGTCTGCAATACCTCATGTGTTCTACTAGGGTATTTATAACCTTCAGTAATGTAAAAATATTTTTCTAATTGCATGAAATTGTCACACGATTAAGATAAATGGTTAGAGATATTGTAGAAGAAGCTCTCTCATCATTCTGGCTTTGGCTGCAACTTGGATCAAATTGATACCACATCAGAACAATGTTTTATAGCCTCTGTCAATTTAATAATCAAATTTGATGTTAGATCTGTGCAGAGCTGCATCTTTGATTGACAGAAAGGGCTGTTATATATGGATGTGATGTGCTATTCATGTGTAACAAGATCTTTGAGTGACAGTTTAACAATGGTACAATTTCTACCTTACATACTATAAATGATTCTTGTTGTGGTACAGGCAGTTCTGCACAGGCAGCATTATGTGTACAACAGAACACATTTTAATATTTGGTAAAGTTATAAAAAATCTTATGGGCTGTGATAATTAGTCAAGAAGTTCCACATACTGTCGTTGCAAATGGCAATGTGGGAGTTCTTTGGTGCATTACTTAAAACTTAGTTAAAAAAACAGAACAGCTTTTCTCCATTTAGCACTCTGTCCACAAAGTGGCAATTCAGATGCCAATCAATAAAACCCTGCCACTCATGTTCCCCAGCAACTCGTATTCAGAATCATTCTAGAAGTTATATAACCATAATGATAAGTAAACACTGATTGGCTTTTCCTCTTTCAATGTGTCAAGCCAGTCAAATTCGTGGCCATCCTGTAATAATGGGTTTACAACTGAACCCATTGAACTGAACCCCACACTATATGAAGTAATATCACATTTTATCTACCTGGACTCTTCCACAACTTAGTTTTATCTGATGACCCTGAGTTCCTGTATTATGAGGCCACAGAGAACAATTCCCCCATCCACCTTCTTTATACAATGAATAATCTTATATACATCTGTCATCTCCCTCCTTACAATATCATTTCTCTAAACTAAAAAGCCCCAAATGCCTCTTCTAAAAAGAGTGAGACATATATCTTAGGAACATGCATAGCCCTGTGCTGAAAACTGGCAAAAACTGAAAGTCTACTAGCTCTTAAACCTATATTATTCCAATTCATTCATGTTTATGAAGGGATGAATCTTTGGCGTGATAGATAATAGGTGGACCAAAATAATTGAGACTGAGATGTGGAACAGGCAGAAAGTAGGATTTAAAATATATTCAAGCCAATGGCACTGAAGGAAGCAAGTCATATGGTTTTGCAAGAGGCTAAACAATCTTAAATTTGGGGTATAAAATGTTTAGGAATTGGTAGCAGCTAACTTTAAAACTCTCTATTATAACAGATAATTTATAAAATTTATAGTTACTGTAGGACCTCCATATCCACAGGGAATTTCTCCTAAACCCTCAGTGGACACAGGAACCTATGGATAATAGTTGGTCCTATTGGACAGCTTCTGCCAGAAGTTACCATAGAATCATCCAGGAGTACTGAGCAAATTCTAAGAGAGGATAGAGCTCTAGATATTTCAGGATAACTCTGCGGTGACTTCTGACAGAAACATGCCATAGAATCACCTAGAAAGCTTAGAAAATTCCCAGAAAGAAGGTATTTTTCAGGATACAGATAGGAAAAACTGTGGGTACTGTTCCTTCTGGTACAGGAATCATACTGCATTAAGGGAGAGTGCCTTCATCGTTTGCAAGATGATTTAATTTTCACCACTGAATGTAAAGTGCTGGAGAAAAGGAGTACATCTAAATGGATGCTTAACCCCCAACAGGTGAGAGAAGAGAATCAGCTCTGTGGTACCTACATGATCATGGAGCTGATTGGATCATGTAACATCACCTTGAACTGCATTAACAAAATAGAAGGTTGCTACAGAGTTACCCTGAACCTCTGAGCAAACCTGGACTATGGGCTTATGCAAGCAGTTGGGTTGGTTCTAAGATGGAACAAGTTCCAACCGTTTACACCAGGGGTCCCCAAACTAAGGCCCAGGGGCTGGATACGTCCCTCCAAGGTTATTTATCTGGCCCTCACTTAGGGTAAACCTAAGTCTAAAATGACTTGAAAGCACACAACAACAACAACAACAACAACAACAGCCCTATGTTATCAGCCAAAAGCAGGTCCACACTTCCCATTGAAATACTAATAAGTTTATATTTGTTAAAATTGTTCTTCATTTTAATTATTATATTGTTTTTAGGTGGGGTTTTTTTGCACAACAAATAAGATATGTGCAGTGTGCATAGGAATTTATTCATTTTTTTCAAATTATAATCCGGCCCTCCAACAGTTTGAGGGACTGTGACCTGGCCTTCTGTTTAAAAAGTTTGAGGAGCTCTGGTTTACACAGATATCCCATATTTCGTGGGGACATAGAATGGCACTTACCATCCCTTTCTTGATTTCTTTGTAGCAGAGACTAATGGGGATAACTTGGCTGGTGCCCCCGCCCCAAGCCAACACAAGAGTGTTGTGTGGTCCCCCCCCCCCCCGCCGCAAGCCAACACAAGAGTGTTGTGTGGCCATGTTCTAGCAGCATTTTCTCCTGACATTTCACCTTCATCTGTGGCCTGCATCTTCAGAGGATCTGAGTGTTGGTAAGAACATTCAACAATCAGGATTGGCCAGAGGATATTGTGTCCTCAAACTACAGTAGTGTTTTTACAACACAGGCTTAACTCGCTCTCCCTGCTCATAGGTAGCCGTCAGATGATATTGCACCCCACTTCACAGCAGTCCTAGCCAGCATAGGCAGTGGTGAGAAATTCTGGAGCTGCAGTCCAACAGTCTCTGAAGGATGCATTATTCCCATCTCTTTTGCAGAATCAGCCTTCTGGAAATTATTTGATTGACCTGACTTGACCAAGCAAGGTACAGAAAGTCCTGACCATGGCATTTACTTTGCAGATTAATAAACTTTGTCTATAGTGTGAGGAGCCTGGGTACAAATCAATACTACATTGCAATTTTGTGGGTGTTTTTTTGTTTTTATTTTTGCAATCATTCTGCTCCTTTTCCAAGTAGCTATTTTTGTTCTTGATCTGTCCCTGCCATTGATTACATATGTAACAATGTACTCCTCTGATGTGCAAATGCTTTGGGAATCATAACAAGGAGATGCAAGCAACCCACTCATCAGATGTAGAAAAATGCAAGAGTTTGCCCATTTCTTAAATGATCTCAAATTCTGATGTCCCCCATCATGTAATTGAGAATGATTAGAGAATAAGAATGAGCCTATGGTTTCTGCCTTCCCCATGAATGCATTTGGGTTTGTGTGTTCCATTGCACTGGTTTTCCCCATGAAATGGAACCCACACCAGTCTATTTATTTCCCCTCAACAGATACGTTCCCTCAACATTGTAATTACTTGAATGCAAACAATAGCAACAGTAATGCACGGGTGAATTCTAAGTATCTCATGAAACTACAGATCCTAAAATTCCACAAGCTTAGCTAAAATGACATCTATAACTATGCTATGTGGGTGCTTCTATGTAGACTTGGCTCTGGAAAGTCCCTTTCTAATATAAAGGGGCAGCATCCTTTGAAAGGGGAGACATAAAACTGTACATTTAATTGCAAATAATGCCATCTCATAGATTTTAATAATTACTAGTCTTTCATAAATCTCTTGATGTGTCACATTGAAAGCATGGCCCTATAAAGTGGAGTGTGTTACACTGCTAAATACCCAATCCAGTTAAACCATGCCGCTTAGAATATTATTTCTGAAAATGGAACTACATTATATTTAAATATTTATTCTTTTCCTACTTTTTCTCTCTAAGCCATAGTTGCTCCCTTGCTGGGTGCTGATTTCTCCAAATAATTCCTGGAGCACAAAATAGCAGTGTGCTGTAATTGGGAATAAGTAATTTTAAAAAAGCAATATAAAATCCCTGTTCTTTTGCTTTCCTCTGCTCTTCATAAGTGCTAATAAGAGCAAAGGTATATTAAGTCAAATCTTTGGGGATTTACTTTGTATTCACTAGTAGTTTATGTGATATTTGAATAAATGTTTACTTCTGCTATGCATTTTAGCAGATTATGGCTCCTTCACATATTATGAAAGCTTTGTAGAATTACATGATTTGCATTTTGTTTTAAGAAAAGCACAGGATTTTTGGGCAACAAATTTCTATCAAGTCTTGCTGTTCTATGAAAGCAAGGTATATGCAGAAGGAAACGGGGCTGGGTAACTTTTGGTTTGGTGTATTTAGTTACTAAAATGTTTGTCTTCCTCATATTATTGAACAAATAAAGGATTTTTGCAGATGGTATTTTAGATCTTGGAAGTTAGTTGAAAGATGAGTAGTTCAAGGCCACCAAAGTGGTTAGCAACTATTACAGTTACAGTTTATAAACATCACTATTTCCCACTTTCTGAAGCAACCCAAAATATTATCTTTGTTGTTAGTTTTAAAACACTACCACTATTTGAATCATTTTTCGCCATTCAACGAGTTATAACAGATCTGTTATACAAGGAGTTAACAATGGAATTTAAATCACTAAACTATAGTGCCTTTAAATATTTCAGAAATTATCCCACTATCCCTTATTGGAACCATTTTTAAGGGACAGATGTTTGGGTGGGTCCCAGTTCTTTGTCTAGGAAGATTTTCAACATAGCTTTACCCCATAATCTTTAATGAGAGCCTTTTCATAGGCCCTTCATTAATATATCTCATAATAAAGAAATTCATCAATAACTATTGAGGTGGAAATAATTAAATGTGGAGAAAAAATGGTTTGTAAAATAATTTTAGCACGGCAAAATAAGTAGTTTTCAAATTATTCACAATATAGAAACAATTAATTAAAGGTTTAAATTGGCTTTCCTGCCCTTCCAAAACAAAAAAGAAGGCAATTCCAAGTACCATACTGTTATTGTGCTGAAGAACAAATAATAAATTGCAACTTCTTTTGCAATCACAGTGAGTGATTCAAAATTCCTGTATTTATAGAATATAAGTATAGTATTTCATGAATAAGGAATGTGTACTAAGAAAAGATTGAAAAATGTAAACTTACATTCACAATTTCTTTAGGTATAACTTTTCACAAATGTTTACTTTACCAGGATCCATTTTTGCTTTCTCTGTTTCTTTCAGATTTCAAGTTTTGAACACTGATATCAAGGCAACTTTCTTGTACTAATCTTGCTTAACATCTTTACTAATGATCAGCCACAGCCACCACTTTTTTTCTGTGTCAGGAATGACTTGAGAAACTCCAAGTCGCTTCTGGTGCAAGGATGTTGCCCAGGGGATGGCCAGATGTTTTGATGTTTTACCATCCTTGTGGAAAGCTTCTCTCATGTTCCTGCATGGGAAGCTGGAGCTGACAGAGAGAACTCATCTGTGCTCTCCTCGGATTTGAACCTCCAACCTGTCGGTCTTCAGTCCTGCTGGCACAAGGGTTTAACATTGCGCCAACGGGAGCTCCAGAGCTACCACTCACAAAGAGCTTTCTATATGCTGATGACCTTTGCCTAACAACTCAAAGAAAAGACTTTGAAACAATCGAAAATCAACTTACTAATGCCTTGAAAGATCTCTTCAGCTATTACAAAGATAACCACCTGAAGCCTAACCCTGCCAAGACACGAGTGTGCGCTTTCAACTACGTACCAATGAAGTTATAATTGAATAGTATGTACCAAACCTAAATAAAAAAGGATTTAGATTCTCATCCATTTTTATTTTTTGAAAAACAAATAGATTAAACAAAATACACACAAAAATTTTATGGAGGGAGGAATGTGTGACAGAAGGTATTTTCTTATGGAGGAAGAATCTTTGGATCCAGCTCATCTATAACAATCCAGAAATTCTCATGTAATCTAACTTCTTAGAGAAACTAGGTATATATAGGTGGTTCCTGAGTTACAAACATTTAACTTGCACATGACTCCTCATTAAGAACAGGGCTGAGACAACAGGAAGTGAGAAGAAATCTACCTCTCTGAAGGGAAATTCCCTCCTGAAAGAGTTATCATGGGGGAAAGTATCTCCACTGAGGCTTTATCACTAATCCTTGATTCCACAAGCATTCAAATTGTCACAGGGATAGAACATGAGGTGAAATCTTCTGAACAGGGGCACATACAGCAAAACAAATGTTATAGACATGTTAACCCTCCCCTATATTAAACTAAAAAAAATTTTGGTTGGAGTTACACTTAAATAAATGTGTTTTGACATATACAAATTCAACTTAAGAACAAACCTCCAAAACCTATATTGTTCCCTACCTCGGGACTTCCGGTATACTGATTTACTTTGGGGGGAAATAAATTAAATTAAGGTAGCAGTGATTTTATTTGGGGGTGGGGAGAGATAGAACACTTGCCCGGACAAGAAAACCTAGAATCCCACAACAATGCTGATAAAATGATTAGCAATGTAAATTTCCAAAGGGATATGGTCTCAATCACATGTGATTTTACTAGCATCCTCTCATTTGATGACTAGCAAAATGGAAGCTTGCTCTGCTCTGGGCAAAGTGCCACATTAATGCTTGTTAGTTCCTCATTATCTCCCTGCTGCTGTGAGACATTCTGTAGTTACTCACAACTCCTAATGAAGTGCTAAAATATTTGCTGCGGAGAAATTGTGAAATTACTATGCTTCTGAGCATTGACAGTCTGCTGCTCTGCAGAAGCGTGGGTATGATGGAGAGTTAAAGGGACACTTTGTGGCAACTGTGCATATGTCACTGTGTAGGTTGCTGGCTGAGGACTGGTACATATAGCTGTGCTACTTGTAGCCCATACTGTATATAATTGGTTTAAGAGATCCTCTTGTAAAATTACATTGAATAACCCAGCAGAAAGATTATAAACAGAATACTTATCCTTGGTGTAAAATGTCCTATGTGCATTTTCACACAAATGTCAAAATTTTGAAGGTGTTTCTGTTTATAGTTATGGCATCATTTATTACTTGTCAAAATAGTGTATGACCTGATGCCTTTTATCGTACCAATATTTTGGTTGGAATCACTGTGGTACAGTGGGTCCTTAGCATCTGCTGGGCTTTGGATCCAGGATGCCCCATAGATACCAAAATCTTTAGATGTTTAAACATCATTAAATCAAATGGTGTTGTAATAAGGTATCCCTTATATAAAATAGCAAACTCAAAATTTGGGAATTTTTGTTTTTAGAATATTTTCAAGCTATGGATGATTGAATCCATGAATACAGAATCTGTGGATATGGCCAGCTGTGAAGTGTCATCAGTGTTGGATGAGACCTCCAGGAGCCTAGGGTTCAAATCTCTACTCAATGAAATCCAGTATCATGAACAAGTCACATTTCTTCAGTCTAGGCAATAAAATCCATTAATTGGATTCAGCATGAAGGCACATAAACCACAAATAGTTTGGGCAAGAGTAATATTGTTCTCCTGTAATAGACAGAATGACTATGCAAACAAAATAAATTAGCCTTTTAGCTTTTCAAGACAACAGTGCAAAGAAATATATGTCTGTTGCTTTTGCTTTTGTTCTTCATTAATGCAAAGCCTTTTAGTGGAATATTGTAGGTGTGCTAGAATAGGGCCAGCATCCAGGCTTATGCTGTCTTATTGGAAGAGGTGTAGCATGGAAGTTCATGACCTCCGTGGCAACCAATGATCTACCCTGGTTATTATCTGAGCAACCTGTTTGCTATCTGAGCAACTTCTTTTGCAGAGCATTAGACATAGTTTTCTGCACTCAGTGGAGTGATAGTTATTTGTAAATAGAGCAGGGGAGGGCAGTGACTACAAGTTAGGAGGCTGTATCCATTCTCTGCAGTATTTTGGGGTCTTTGCATTCCCATCCTCAAAATGTTTAATTTTTCCATTTTTTTCCTGTAATTTTGCATGTAGGAGACAATTTTATGGTCTGTAGCTATTTGGGAAGTGGTCCAAAAGCAGCTTTGGAGAGGAGAAGTGTAGCAACATTGAGATAATGTTTGTGGAGTTTTTAGTGAAAATAATGTATGATGGAGGCCTAGGGACACAAAAGCAACTACAAAAGTGTATGTGGTCCAATGACCTTACTTTCTCTCTCACTGCAGTGGAAGAATTTTACATAATTCTGTTTTGGGGGACATTTCTCTACCAAGCTGTGTTTAGACTTACCGGGACTTAGTGCCTCTGCAAGGGAAAGGCACCAATTAAGATGCTTTGCCCCAGAAGGCTGAAATGTTTTTTGACAGCTCTTGAGAGTTTTCCTGTCATTTGGCAGCCCTGGTTAACCTCCTGAGCATCCTCTTCCACTAAAAGAGCCAACCAAGTTTCCAGCTATTCTAGGAAACGGGGGTGATGAAATGAGTGAGACTGACTAGAAGAACATTGGCAGAAAAAAACGGAGTGATTCCATCCAAGTATAGCCTATCAGTCACTGGAAATTTACTTCATGGAGGTGATGGCAATGAAGGAATTATTTTTCTCTCCTTCACTATTGCATCTACAGAAAATTATCCAAAGGAACTGAGGTAGCATGATCCCAGTCCCCTTAAAACTTTACCACTTATATTTCCGTTACCAGGCAATGCTTTCTCCTTCCATGTCCTTAGATGAGTTGTGTATTTAAGGGTATTGTACACGTGCATATAGAGTATTACAATCTCTACTTAAATTTGTGGATTGCTTCTCTCTGGAAAATAGTGTATGAGTAACATGGATCAATATGAAAGCTCTGTCCATGGTGTTTGATCTTGCTGCCTGTTTTACATTTTTATGACATTGCCATCAATGGTCACATTGAGATGTGACAGTAAGTCAGGTTTCTATATAACTGCCAACAAGAAGTGTGCTTTGTTACTTTACCTTCTCCACTACTGAATGTGGGAGCTGCTAAACGGACTATGGACCTACTGCACATAAGATTCTTGCTTGTTCCTTTCCCCAAATATATCAGAGTCATAATCCAATAGTAAACTTTGTTGTATTTGAGAGCTTGAAGGGTGTAGTTGTTTAAGCATTGGACTACAACTCTTGCCAAGAAAACCCTGTGCCTTATAGTTCTTATAAGTCAGAAATAACTTTAAGATACACAACAACAACAAGCATTTGAGCACAGACATTGACCACTTTGTACAAGAAGCCAAGGGGGAGTATAAGCCAGCCTGCCCCTCATTATTGCGGTTCTGAAAGAGATTGGATTATTTTGATGTCTGGGTTCATTTGTGGGAGATGAATATGTGCCTTTCATAACAATTGCAAGCTATGAGTTGTAGCTTCTGATAAGCATACTTCCATTTTCTCATTAATCTTCACACTTCATTTCCTTAATTGGTAGGAAAAGGAAGGCAGATATTTTTAGCCATCGAATTAAAAGTGAAGGTAAAATAGGAATGATAAAAAGATTAAAACATGTAGAAACGGAAAACTATATAGTAGTTTTGCAATCTCGCTTCGGGAATGTGTTATGTTAAGGTCCTTGATCTTATATCTATTTGTACATTGCACTAATGATCAGAACATTTTGCAATACATATTTGAGCATTACCACACAACATGTCAGGGACAGCGCTGTTTGGAAAAGATAAAAAAGAATGCATGATAAAGCTAGAGTGCCATTACTCTTAAAAGACTACTGCATGTAAACTATTCAATACCTTATAAATTTAACATCATGATCTGTGTGGAAGGTTATGGAGAAAACACCAACAAACTTATTTACCATCTATTCTGTTTTTTATGTACTGTAAGAATTCTTCTAATGTTTGGTCTAAGAATCCATGACTTAATCATTAGATTTATATTTCCTGTCTGTAGAGTGTTGAGAGGTCAGTGAAATCAGAAAACATTGCCTTTGGCCATCCATTATGAGTCATGGACCTGGCCTACTTTGTTGAAAGCAAATATCAGACTATCTAAGAGGTATTTCTTTAAAAGCTGGGGTGCTTACTTTACTTCCCTTATAGTCAGTGAAACAAAATCTCCCAAGAATTTGAAGCTTCTTAGCAATCTGCTGAAACAGCAAGTGATCTGACTGACCTTGGGCTTCTATTTTACCAACTCTTTTGAAGGAAACCCTTTTTTTTTTTTGCTCAAGTGCTGAATGCTAGGATAAAATACTATATTTCTAATATGTATACACCTTGGAATCATTTTGCTATTGATATAATTTTAAAAGGTGGGAGGAGAATATAATAATAATAATAATAATAATAATAATAATAATAATAGCTTTATTTTTATATCCAGCCTCCATCTCCTTGAAGGGACTCCCTGAAGGGACAAGCCCGATCAACATAGTTAAAATAACAAAACATGGTTTACTAATCGAAATAAATATATTAATTAATGAAGAGATTGGTGAAGAAAACTTTTGTATATACAATAGTGAGGGGGTCTGTTCCAGGACCCTTTGTGAAATAAGATTTTGGAACCCCATCTTTCTTGTCTAAAATGAACAAAATCTTGGGCTCTTTGTGGAAACTTACAATATAACTGCTTTGGAGGACCTAGAGATGCCTGGAGAAGTGTTCTTTCTAGGTCTCCAGTGGAATTCTGTGGTCAACTTCTGGCTGAATCTCTGGTAGACGTTGACCTTAAAATCATGCTGGAGGCCTAGAGAGAACATTTCTTTGCTAGCATTACTAGAGCCTCCAGTCTGAGTCTATGATATGCAAAGCTCTTAACATATAACTGAAACTACTTTCAATGAGCTTGTGTAATAAGTGGGCCTATTGT